AAAAATAAAGAAAATTTATAAAAACCAAAACAGAAACCATATTTATCAAGATTCCGACTGCCATGACTTACTCAAAATTTTAAAAGTTGTTCCTTAAGGTGTCTTATTAGTGCTGTGGTCAAATTGGTATTAAAATATTTAGTCTATTCAAGTCAAAATAGTTGGGGGCACAGGGAAGGGCCACGGAGAGATATGAGGGTGAACGTGAACTAGAAAATGGTAAGAATGGGAACTGGGAGGATAAGGCAGAGCAGGGCAAAGAAAATTTAATTTACTAATTGCAGAATTTGTTGTCACACTCTTAAGCAAGTGAAGAAAAAAACTCAACATTTCCTCTATATTTGTATCACGTTATACTGTGTTCTTGGGGGGGCTTTTGCTTACAGGAAATATCAAAATGTCAACCACTGTTTCTATTAAAGGTCTTTAATGATATTGCATTTTGGACCTGTAATGAAACATGCTGCTCACTGCAGTTTGTAATGCATCTCATTAAATACATTAATAACATGCATTTCGCTAAAAGGTCAACTTATTACGGCTGAAGTTTGGCTTTCCTGTAATCACTTCATCTAAAGCTACAGTGCAAACTCTGGAAAAGACAGGAGAGAGCCTGTTAACAGGAATGCTCTCTCAGTTCCCCCTACATCCAAACCAGCTGTGCTTAAGAAATCACTGTTAGCGTTTTTGTGTGGGATAATGGTATTGCGATTTTTTAAAAAATCCTTTACTCTCAGAGATCCATGCTGAATCCCTGATAAAATGATAGGCTGTCTGGTATTTGCTTCAGAATAAAGCAGAAGTAGGAGAAAAGTTGGTTTAAGCAGATGAAATAGATGGGCCATGAGTTGATAACTGCTTAACTGGTAGTGGTATATAGGTTCACAGTACTTAGAACTCTCTCTACTTTTATATAGGTTTGATATATTCCATAATGAAAACTTTTAGATATACTCATGCTGGGGGTTTCCTTAAGTACCTTGCCTTCTTCTTTATACACTGTTGCCAGCAACATAAAGGAACCATCTCCTAATGTGACAGATAGAAGTTTCTAAAAGAAAATCTGAGAGAAAAAGCTCACCTCTTTAGAGAAATGGTTCTGTGCATGGAAAATCTCTTAATTTTGCTATGGTTACTTCATGACTTACCACTTATGCAACTACAAAAATATCCCAAAAAAATGCCTCTGAAATTATTCAACAGCAAGAGTTATAATCACTAACATGTAATACCAGCATGATGGGGGACCAAGAGCGCTGGGGAAGAAAGGAGAGATTTGCTTAGTTTCTGAAAAGTAGAGTTTAAGGTGCTTAGGGTACAAAGGCACACTGCTCAAGTACTTGACTGTGGCTTAAATACAGCTGGAAGTCTGCTCCGTTTTAGAGAATGTTGTTAAGACCATGAGAGTAAATGAGTTCCATGAAGAGAATATGTCAAGAAAACACAGCCTGAGCAGAGGATCCTAAATGCAGTGATACTGACACTGAGAGGATAAAAGAGAGGCTGAGATGAGAAGGGATCAGAAACACAGGAGAAGCCACACATCACATGTGGGAGCACCAAAACCAAAGAGAAATAATTTCAAGGAAAGGGTGAATGCTCCAGGGAGGTAGTAACTGGGCTTGGCAATAAAGAAATCTCTGATCACCTTTTCATAAGTCATAAGAGGCCAAGGCTGAATTGTAAGTATCACAGTAGAATAGAACAGAACCCATTTTCAAGAACAAATGGTTCATTTAAAGTATATAAAGGGGACTTTCCTGGTGGTCCAGTGGCTAAGACTCCTCACTCCCAATGCAGGGGGCCTGGGTTCAATCCCTCATCAGGAAACTAAGATCCCACATGCTTCAACTAAGACCTGGCACAGCCAAATAAATAAATAAAACTAGAAAAAAATAAATTGTATGGGGAATTTGAATACTAGTAAAAAGTCAAAAAACACTGAAGGGACTTCCCTGGTGGTCCAGTGAATCTGCCTGGCAATGCAGGGGACACAGGTTTGATCCCTGGTCAGGGAACCAGGATCCCACCTGTCACAGAGGAGCTGGGCCCACGCACTGCAACTGCTGAGCCCCCATGCCAAAAGTCGGCGCGCTGCAAGGAAAGACCCTGTGCACTGCGACTAAGGCCCAGGCAACCAAACACAGTAAAACAACACTGGGACAGCAGGGATGATGGTGAGTTACCCTGATGACCACTATCCAGGGGGCGGAACACTGCCAGACGGCTCCTTCCGCAGAAAAAGAAAATACGTGTACCTAACATTCGTGGTGTGTGGTGTGCCAGGCACCGTGCTAATGCTTCACATCGATCACGTTCTTTAATCCTCACAATCATACTACCCCATCTGACCATGAAGTTAAGTAACTTGCTCAAGGTCACTCAGCTAATCCACTGCTGAGATGGAATCTAAACCCAGGCAGTCTGGCCTTACTGGAAGACCAACCAAACTGAAGAGAGATTTAATTGAAGAAAATAAGTTCCAGTGTTTGTTTTGGGGTCAGTACAAATTCAGCAAATGTTCCACACCAGCTATATATATAGGTAAAACACACTATAAATTGTTCATCCAGAGTAACATAACCAAGAAGTTTTTCTTAAACTCTGTTTACCGAGATAGGGAAACACACAAATATTATATAATCGTAAAGGTAAAAACAAAAATTAGCTACTCTTCAGATGCATAGAAATTCTGGTAATTAGAAAACTCTCCTAGATAACTAATAAGCACCTACTGTGGAACACAGGGAACTCTAATCAATACTCCATAATATATGGGAAAAGAATCTAAAAAAGAGTGGATATATGTCTATGTATAACTGATTCATTTTGCTGTAACATGAAACTGACACAACAGTGTAAATCAACTATACTCTAATAAAAGTTAAAAAAACACTCTCCACCCTCCCATCTTAGACTATGTGATTCCAAACAAACATTCCTTTCTTCTCCCTTTTCCTCTGCAACCCATTCAGTCAGGTTGAGGGCTATCTGTCAAATTAACTAGAATGCACCAGTGAGGCAAAGAAGCAACTGGTTAAGTAGGAAAAGAGACATTAAAAAGACTTGAACTGTTGCAAAAATAGAAGTTATATAACAGTAAAATAGCTAAAGAAATGAAACTGCATCCAAGAGTAAGAATGTGTCCCTTAAACCAAGCACTGACTAGCCCTTAAAATACCTACATTTTGAGATAAATCCCAAAATGGGGGATGGGGGGAGGGTTGGCTCAAGCCAGAAGAGTAATGAGTGACAAAATGGAAAAAGCTTCATTACGAAACATTGAAGACATTTTATCTAGAGCAGTTGAGGTCTCCTTCCAAATTTCCATATCGGAAATTAGGGCATTAGGGCATTAAAAATAGCAGAGAAATGCTCCAAAAACCTCAAAAATGCTGGAAACCATCAAGCTATCATTTATTTGAGGGAGGAGGGGAGGAAGAGTTGGGAAGCCGCTTACAAAAGACCCACCCTCACAGTATCTGCAGGTTCCTGACTTCAAGTGTGGCAGGACACACAATCTAAAGACTGGCCACTTAGAAGTCATTCCCCACTAAACAAGGTAGTCCCCTCCGAGAAAGATTCACAGGACTCCCTACCCTAGAAATCCTACACTTTTATCTGGAAGGGTTTAAAGTGATTCTACCAAGAGGCAGACACCAAATCAGATGTCCTCCTCAGGAACCTTCTTATTCAAACTCCTTGATATTATAAAAACAAGCTTGAAAGAGCAAATGACAACAGTAAGCCTCAAGACTTCCCTGGTGGCTCTGTGGCTCAGACCCTGTACTCCCAATGCAGGGGGCCCAGGTTCAATCCCTGGTCAGGGAACTAGATTTCACATGCCACAACTAATAGTTCGCATGCCCCAAGTAAAGATCTTACATGCCACTACCAAAAATCCTGCATGCCACAACTAAGACCCAGCACAGCCAAATAAATCAATATTAAAAAAAAAAAAAAAAAAAAAACCACTAAGTCTCAGCCTGCAAACAAGGGATGGCAACCCCAGCACCCCACGCCTCCCTCAGCCCCAGTCCTCAGTGCCGCTGGGCACACGGGCACATGGGCACACAGCAGGCGGCTCCTAGATCCGAAGGCAGAAGGGCAGGAGGAGTCTGTCTCTGCTAGGCGGGATCCAGCTATGTAACTATGGGCGACTCATTCTCTCTGAGCTTTGGTTCTCTCATCTGGAAAATAATTACTAAATTCCTTTTCTTTCCTAAAATTCTGGGACTTCACAGACCAGCAGTTCTCCTTCATACCATTTTCCTCCTCCTGCGGTCCTCACCTTCTCCTCACTCTATGCAACTCAGAGGAAGACAGAAGTAAGGTCATCTCTGTATGTTGTTCTAGAAACTGCCCAACAAAGCAAGGCATCCTTTAAGCACATGATATACAACTTAAACCAACTGAGTTTAGTCATTTACTGTCTCCCTTTCATTTTGTACCAGCAGGTTCTCTCTGAGCATTAAAAGAGTAACTCAGGGACTTCCCTCAAGGTTTGGTGGCTAAGACTCCGTACTCCCAGTGCAGGGTCCCCAGGTCCGAGCCCTGGTCAGGGAACTGGATCCCACAGGCTGCAGCCAAGAGTTCTCATGCCACTACTAAAGAACCCAGCATGGTGCAACAAAGATCAAAGATCCTGCATGTCCCAACTAAGACCCAGCACGGTCAAATAAATAAATATTTAGAAAAACAAAAACCCTAAAGATTTTAAAATAAAATTTTTAAAAAGTAACTCAAAACCAAGGGGAGGGGGAGGGCATGTGAGATCAGGGGTAGAAATAAGAATAGATAGAACTCCATCTGTCTTGATCAAAGTTGCCTTAATTTGACAAAAGGGTTATACTGCCATCTCTTTTAAGTTAAAAATGACTATCTTCTATCATCACTAAAGCCAAGTCTTCTCAACTCCGTGGTGCTGTGAATACAATCCCAGTAGATCCCAATGAACCCCCGGGGTTCTGAGCATCCCAGTGCAGTGTGAGTACTCTTACTGTTTTTCAGGGCGCTGGCAAATTCTGGGCCACCTTTGTCCTTGAAGACAGGGAAAACATCTGGTTGAGGAAGCTGATTGGTGGTCAGCAGAGCCTTTTGTAACTTTATCCTTCCTTCCAAGAGCTGATCCCACAGTGCTGAGACAGAAAATAGAATTGCATTTCTCAGTTATAAAATCTTCCTGGGGTGAGGAGTAGGGGAGGGGCCGGAAATCAAAACAGCCTCTAAGCAGCACGGCTTTACCACAGTGTCATGCCATGGGACGCTCTATTTATTACAGGAAATAAATCCAGTATCTGGACGCAAGAGATATCTGGATAAATCCAGTATCTTGACTTGCTACATGAGAGAAAGGATGCTACAACCCAACAGGAGAAGATGCTCTCCTCTTCAACCTTCCTCAGCTGCCCGAAGTACTAGGGCAGAGCCAGTGAAGCAGGTGAGGGTAGCAGGGGTGGGCCAAGCACAGGGGAATGGTGCTGTAGGCCTCTAGGTAAGTGGGGCACGTCACCAATGAACTGGCAGGACACAAGACACAGGAGAGAGCAAGGGCTCCCCTGGCGGCGCAGACGGTAAAGAATCTGCCTGCAGAGCAGGAGACCTGGGTTGGATCCCTGGGTCGGGAAGATCCCCTGGAGAAGGAAACAGCTACCCACTCCAGTATTCTTGCCTGGAGAATCCCATGGACAGAGGGGCCTGGAGGGCGATGGTCAACAGGGTCGCAAAGAGTTGGACACGACTGAGTGACTTACACACACACACACACACACACACACATACACGGGAGACAGCAAACTGCCTAAAACAGACAAACAAAATGGAGAGCAAATGCAGACACTCTGAAAAATAAGCAAACAGCATACATACAAACCTATCTGATTCTTCACAGCTCGGCCTTTCTCCACCTCCTCAGAAACTCTGGCCTCAGAGAAGGTCATTACCACCCCGTCGTCCTCACTGGCCCTGTCTTCGGCCTTGTCTTCCTCACTCACATCTTCAAAGTCTTCCTCACCTTCCCCTTCTTCCAAACCACTCTCCTCCTCATCGTCCTCTTCTTCCTCACTGCTACCAAGGTCGTCCATCCCCTCAGTAAATTTTTCAAAGTCACTGATGCTCTGGACACTGAAGCCCGACGATGTCCGTGAGTGGCTCCCACTCCTCTTCTTCCAGGTCAGGCTGCTGTCCCCCTCATCCCCGCCCTCCTGATCCTCAGAACTCATGGCTTCCTCATCGGACTCCTCCAGGCCCAGGTCCTCTGAATCTCCATCTGCAGACCCGTCCTCATCAGATATTTCTTTATCTAAACAAGGGAGGGAAAAGGAAAAACTTGAAACAAATACTTGGCCATCTCTTTCAATTCACCTAAGGATTATGGCACCTGTCCAAAAAAAAAACAAGTATTACCATACTCAATGCAACTCAATAGCACAATCCCTATCACACTAGTGATGCTTATTATTAAATACTTATTAAGCACCTATTATGAACCAGCCTTGGATAAAAACTAGAGACTGACAAATAGAATGTAATATCTGTGGGGAGGGGTTCACAGTCTGCTAGGAGTGGTAGATACACACAACCAACAACCACACTGCAGGGTCGTTAGTACAGTGAGAGATGGCTTCAGGTGAAAAATACCTTATAGCTTTACTTATTAAGCATAAATAGCAGCTCATCAGACAGAGAAAAGGGAAGGAAAGGAAAAGCAGCAGAGACAAAGGTCCAGCACACAAAAGTGTACTGAGGGAATTTCACGGGGATCCACTGCTTGCAAGTCTGCCTGCCAATGCAGGGGACAAGCGTTCAATCCCTGGTTCAGAAGATTCCACATGCTGTTTGGTGCAAGAGGGCAACTAAGCCTGTGTGCCACAACTACTGAAGCCCGTGCACTGGAGAGCTTGCTCTGCAACTAGAGATGCCACCACAGTGAGAAGCCCATGCACAGCAACTAAAGAAAGCCTACACGAAGCAGCATGGACCTAGCACGGCCAAAAATAAATAAATTAAAAAAAAAAGTACACTGAGGTGCAAAATGCTGGGTTATGAGTCCAGAGAGTTATTCAAGGTTTTTTTTTTGTTTTTTTTTAATTTTAGGCCATGCCATGCAGCATGCAGGGCTTCACAGGTAGTGTTAGTGGTAAAGAACCTGCCAGCCAAGTGCAGGAGAGGTAAAAGACGTGGGTATAATCCCTGGTTTGGGAAGATCCCCTGGAGGACATGGCAACCCACTTCAGTATTCTTGACTGGAGAATCCCACGGACAGAGAAAGCTACAGTCTATAGAGTCGCACAGAATCAGACACAACTAAAGCAACTTAGCACAAACACATGCAGTATGCTAGTTCCCTGACCAGGGATTCAACCCGTGCCCCCTGCAACAGCAGTGCAGTGTCTTAACCACTGGACCTCCAGAGAAGTCCCACCAGGAGGGGTTTTGTCTTCCATGGGAAGGTGTCTAAACTTGATCCTTCAGTAAACAGAATATTAGTTATGGCTTCTGATTTCACTTATAGAAAAATCTGAATTATATTATAGAAATTATAGAAAAAATTACTTTTACTTCTGATACTTACAGGTCTTTATGTGTCATCATTGATCATCCAATCTCTTCCAGTGCAGGACACAAAGGTCCCACATATGGGAAGCATAACTGCACAGGGGCCTGTTACCAACAACTTTCTTCATAAAACAAAGATTTTATGAAAACATAATAGGTCTTAAGTATTTCTTTAACTGAATATCAGATATACTTTAATATATAGACTCAAGACACAGAAGACTGTCAAAACTATACAGTTCCAAACAATAAAGAGAAATAATTCTTTAAGTTCTTTACATGTATGATAGTAGTTTAAAGTATAGAACTTAGAGTCAGACTGCCTTATTTGAGTTCTGGGCTGCACTTCCTAGATATACAACCTTGCGCAAGTTACATAACAAATATGCCCCTCAACTACGCCCCTCAACTTCCTTATCTGCAAAATAGGGATAAACAGTAGCAACCTCACAGGGCTGCTGGGAAGATTAAACAAGATGATCGTGTACCCAGAACTGTTTCAAGGCCTAAATCAGGGATATCAGAGCATGACTGATTATTTCTTTCACATTATCTGTGGGTTCTCAACATGGTCCCTCTGACTTCTCTACAGGAAAACAAATAGCATCCACTCACGAATCACCATATCCAGCCCCCTTCTTCCACTCAGAGAAACTCACAATCTTTAAAACTATAAGCCCACATCCTCCTAAATCTTGCAGGGAACATGGAAGGGTTATGAAAATTTTACAATGGCAAAGAAATGAGTGTCACAAATTAATATTATCCAGTGACCCAATGCAAGACTTGACAAACCAAAGGAAAATCTATGAGTAGCATGCTCATCAGACACAATGCTTTTTCCAAGACATCTATGTGTGCACGTGTGCTAAGTTGCTTTAGTCATGTCCGACTCTGTGTGACTCTATGGACTACACACAGCCTGTCAGGCTCCTCATTCCACTGGATTCTCCAGGCAAGAATACTGGAGTGGGTTGTCATGCCCTTCTCCAGGGATCTTCCTGATCCAGGAATCAAACCCACACCTCTTACGTCTCCTGCATTGGCAGGCGGATTCTTTACTACTAGCGCCACCTGGGAAGCCCAACACATAGCCCTCTCCAAAATCTAAATCTAGAAGGCCTTCTCTTGTCATTCCATTTCAGGGTGAACCATTAGTGTAAACATTAGGAATAGAGCAACTTAATAGCTCTAGGCTTTAGATTCCTTACAAAGTGAAATTAAGTACTTCAGAGGGCCATTTCTAATGCCGAATCAATGACAGTAAGTGGGGCATCCAGACTGGCTGTGCAGAGATCACCAAAAAGAAAAAAAAAAAAATTTTAATCCCCCAAAATTAGGAAAGACATGCAAATAGGTCTACTCACCAGATGAGCCTGACAGAGGCTGCTCCCATTGGTCTTCCTTCCAAGCTTTTCTAGACGTGGTCTTGCCAGAATATCTCTTGTCTGTGTCCAAGAGGGAGGCTGATGCCAGCTTTCGAATGCTACCCACCGCCTGATAATCACCTTCCCCATCTTCCCCTTCATCAAACCTGTCAATCACTTTGGCAGCAGTGGCTGTCGGGGGAGGGGGAAAAAGTAATCAGAACCTCCTGGTTAGAACCAACTTTAAGGGGAACCCTGTTGAACCCTTTAAATTCATGCTTGAGCGTCCTCTGCAAAATCCCCACCAACTTCTGAGAACAGGGACCTCACTATCTCCAGACCACTCACTACCTTGCTGCTATTCCTGAACAGAAAGCTGACTCTCTGCATCTACTAGAAAGATGTATTTCCAGGCCTTGGAACATAGAAAACAGTCTAAATTCCTCCTCCACAAGCGACAGTCGCTCAGATATTTCGTCAGCCATCATCATGTTATATCCTGCTCCAGCCCATCCCTCGGGAGTTTTCTTTGCTTATCCAGGCTAAACAACCTCAGTTCCTTCAACTGATTATTCCTAAGAAACGGTTCAGCACTCACATTTATCCCTCTGTATTCTCCCTTCCTCACACTTCTCGGACTCAAGCCTAAAGCAGGATTACTTTTAACTAGACGTTGAACAGCAGCTTACAGAACGGCAGCCTTATTCGTCAACCACTAAGCAAGCGTGTTGAGGCCTGAAAAGGCTTAAGGGGCACCACGAACGCCTACTTCTTCCTTCAATCCTCCAAGTAAGTTATCAGAGGTAGGCAGTTTGTTTTTTTTCAAAGAATTAAACTTCCTTCTCCTCATTTCTAATGCGATGCCAGTAAGGGCATCCCGAAAGATGACTACCAATCCGAGGCCAACCTGGCTGTCCGCCACAGCCCTGGATCAAGTTAACCCAAATCTGTGCTCCGGGAGCCCCGCCCACCCGAGCACCAAGTCCAGAAAGCGCGTCAGGAGAATCCCGACGCTCTCCTCCCTGAGTACCGGTGGGCCCGCTTCCCGGGAAGGAGTTTTCCTCCGCGCAGGGGGAAAGGAGGGTAGGCTGGGCGGCAAGGCCCCGCTGCCGGCCCCTCACGCGCCGCCCAAGTCCTCCCGGGGCCGGGCCCGCCGCTCCGCACGTGGCCTTGCCCCCGTCAGGCCTCACCCTCCTCCGGCTCGGCCTCAGGATCCGCTTCGCGCGGTCGCGGGTTCAACAACTGCTCCAGCTGCAGCGCCAGAGACTGCGGTCCCGCCATGGTCACCAAGGCCTCGCCCGGCGCCGCGCTCGTGAACGTTGCTCTCCCCCTGCCAAGTCCTCTCTCCTGAGAGACGAATCCCCGCGCACCGTCAGGGAAGCGCCGAGTCGCGCGCCCGGTTTCGGGTCGCCAACTTCCGGGAGGCTCCCGGGAGGGGGCGGGGCTTGCGTCACTACGGGCGTTGCTAGGACGGAGGCGCACGCGCCCGGAAGGCTGACGCGTGTGCGTGTGCGTGTGCGCGTGTGCGCCTGCGCCGAGGGGCGGGGGGGAGGGGAGGGGTTGGGCCGCGCGGGAGCGCGCAAGGGCACGTGGCTGCCGCTGGCGCAGAGCCGAGACTGTGAAGCGCGGCTCGCGTCCTCTTGCGTAAAGTATGCCTCGAGATTTGTCCGAGATTTACTTGGGAATAAAGTGTAGTGTAGCCATGACCTGCGGTGACTGATTTGGAAAACAGAAGGAGTAAAGGGTAAGCGTCTCGAGCCTCACGTGTACTTTAGGGCAAGCACAGACTGGGATCCAGAGCAGGTTTGGCATTTCACAATTTGGAGGAGTCTGGGGCTCGGCACACGCCTCTGGCCCAGCGGTAGTCCTGATTTGGAAGTCCTACGTAAGGGATGGGCAGGTGTTAAGTGTGCGGTGGACTGCTGGCATCTTTATTAATAGGAATAATTATTACAGAAAGTGCTATGGCTGTGCATAAATACAGATCGATTCTATAACAAGTAGCCTTGTCTGTGCAGGGAAAAGGGGGCGGCGTGAGGATTACTCTACTGCATACCCATCAGGATTGATAACCTTGCTATTCAAAGATGAGGGCATACACTTGAAACTGGTGCACAAATGGGGAAAAACTCAAGTCAACAGTTAGAGGGGCAGAGATGGACTCAAAATATAAAGACCAATAGGATCAATTTAACTGCACCCAGGTACATAGAAAAATACAGTCCGTTATATGCACTTTCCTTCATCATGCATTCCCTGACTGCCCGCTATGTGGCAGGCACTGCTAAATGAGATACAAAGAGAGTAAGTTAGATTCTCCCCCCGTGGTGATCAGCGGAGAAGGGCAAACAAACATGTAAACAGAAGCTGCAAAACGGGATCATCAGGGAAGAACAAAGTGGTCTTTCCTTCTAGTGTCTGTTTGAGGTCACCTGTAAAGACCTTGAAGCTCCTAAACAGAAACTGCCTCAAATGGATCCAGAAAACAGGGTTTGGGGTGCCCTCCTGCCCTTCCTGGAAGCAGCCCAGGCCATTTGGATCCCACAGCTGAACAGCTTGGGGAGCCCCCAATTCTCCAGTGTCTCCCATGTAACCCAAGGGAAGTGTGGGTCCCTAACTTCCCTGGTCTTCATATGCCACCATCATCAAGAGCAATGAAAGGCCACATGTCCCATGTCCGCTGCTTCCTAGGTGGCTGTGGCGGGGAAGGACAGCCCTCAGGGTAGACATTCACAGACTCTGAAGAGAAGGAACTCCAGGCTAGGATGGGAGCACCCTAGGCAAGGCACTGAGGCAAGGAGAACTGCTTTTTATCACCTGCAATAGAATTCAGTCTAGAAAACAGCTTTAAAGCAAAAACACAAATAACATATCCCCTTTAATTGCAGTCTGGCGCCTGCATCTGGGGCCTCCAGAGCAAAAGCATACTCAGTGGGCTGGGCCAGCCATCGCCCTGGGCTTTGAAGGACAAAAATGTTTCCCTCACCCCACATTTAGGAAACTATTTCCCCCAGTCCTCTGCCCTTCCTATTTGGGACACTGATAAAGCTCAGAAACTTGGTCTTGGGGTTAAAAAAAAAAAAAGGTGAGGGAGAGAAAGGGAGGAGGGAGGAGGTGAATCAAGGCAGAGACCACGTCTAAGCTGTCATGCAAACAGGACACTGCTGGATAATTCTGGGCAGAAAACGTCTGCTCTCCCAGTCTTTGGTTACTGGCCAGGTGCCCACTGACTTGGGAAGCCATTTGAGGAAGAAATCAATACCACCCTACTCCTGTTACACATACCTCAGGGCCCCCAAAATGCTTCCCCTGCCATCCTACCCCCATCCTGAGGATAGGGAGGGGACTCCAGGAGTGGAGGAAAGAAGTCCTAAGACTTGAGATGCCGCTGAGAGATGGAGATGCACAAGGCAGCAACCTTCTAAAAGTCCCCGCTCAGGGGGCCCTCCTGACTTGATTCTGGTTTCCTGAGAAGGGAGGAGGGGTTTCCTGACGGGGGTGGGAGTGGAGATGGAAGATGGACTATGGGAGGGGCTATTTTTAAAGACTCTACCTCTTGGGAGAAATGTAAACCCTGGCTAGTAAATGTAAACCCTAGTGATGTGAGTAGAAGAGATGAGGACGGGCAAGGGAATAAATGAGAGCATGCTCCCAAAAGAACAGTCCTGTCTGGAGAAGAAGGTCAAAGGGTCTCCCAGTTCACGGCTCCTCTGCCTACTGCCTCAGAGCGGCAAAGTGGCAGACAGATGTAGGGAAAGCAGACGATAGGCAAGGGTGACATTGGATATCACCCCTACCCCATTGTCCCAATCAGCTGTCTCTTCCAGGAGCTCAAGAGTTTAGGGAAACCACGTGCTTACCCTTCTCTCTTCTCAGATACTCTCAAGGGCCCCAGGCCCCTGCCAGTGCCTGTCTAATATTTCTCCCCTACCTCGTCTCATCCCAAAGCAGTTCTCACTTGCCTCCATTCTGGAAAAGAGAGGTGGGTGAGCTTTGCCTCCCTCGCCCAGGGCAGGCTGGAACCCTGAGGGCAGGTGGCCAGAGGTGGCAGCTCTAAGATGGCCGCGGGGAGAAACCAGGCTGCCAAGCCCAGGAAGAAGAGACTGCGCCATCAGCTCTCAGGGCAGAAGGGGACCGCCTGGCGCTCCCCTCCTGCCTTTAAGGCATCTCCCGGGAGCTTCTAACGCGCTGGGGATGGTGCTGGGCTCCTCTGCACCTCAGAGCCAGAGGTGGGGGGCACAGCTCTGATGGGCAAGAGAACAATCCTTGATATTCCTAGACCTCCCCCTCTCACGCAGCTCCAAATTTGACTGCTAAACTTTGCCACCTGTCCAGGGTCTCCTTTAAGGGTTCTGGATACAGCACCCAGTGGGAAAGACTAAACTGCTGCTGGGATCCACGGAGTCATAGAGAGAAGAATTGAGTCCACACAGAGCACCAACTCTAAAATGCTTCTTATCAAGTACCGGATTCCACAATGAAACTGCTAAATAATTCAGCAGGCTTGATAGGAAAATGCAGCTTCCCAATGAGCATACGTTCAGTTAAATGAATGTCTTTAAAGGAGGCTGGCTATAATGAATAAGTTGGCTATGATTTAATGTATATAAATGCTAAAAGGGCAAAAACAAGGCGATCCAGTGATTGCATACAAAGTAGATAAAGAAATGTGCTGCATGCAGAGGCTAGGAGTTTCAAAAGTCTTCCCAGTATTTCATAAATTTGGATTTCTGAAAGAACACTGTCAGATTCCACCCCGATAGTCCTCCTCCTTGGATAAGCTGTCATGTGGATGCAGTGAAATATGGCTTATTTTAAAGCCTTCTTAGCAAGAAAGATACACTTGGTTGTATCTTAACAAAATATGAAAACACTGGAAATTGCACACCATTTCAAGTAAAACCTTTTTTTTTTCTTTTTAATAAGGAAATAAAGAATCCAGACTAAAATCTAGGTGATAATGGAAAAGAAATTCTGGAACTCTAAGTAGTGTCTGATAGTAAAACACACACACGTATTTCACAGCAGATAAAATATTTAAATTCCTTCCATGTTTAATGAAGGCTTGGAAGAGGTTGAACTACTTTTCAGAACCTATTGGCAACTCTCCGTTGAAATTTGATTTCTGTATTGGTTTTTTTTGCTCATCTTTCAGAGAAAGTAATATGTATCTTGTGCCAAGCAAAACAGTTTTCCTTCTGGGGAACTTCAAATGAAACAAATACTATAAAACAACTGTTTCATATCAGTTCTGTGAAAGGGATTAAAGTATTTCATTTCTAGCTGTGCTGTACCTTCATTTTATGTTATCTTTCAAACCACCAAATTAGAAAGCAGGATTATCTATGGGAAATGAAACAGAAAAGTACCACCTCTAACCACCTATTTAAAGGTAACTGACATTCACAAGTCAGGTTTTGCCTGTTTAGAGGGGAAAAGGAGAAAGTGCATGGGGTCTCATGCTTAATCACAGACTGAGACCACTCATTTTTAGCCATGGATTTGATTTCTACTTCCAATTCTATATTAACTTATCAACAGACATATCTTCAACTGTATCCATTAAAATTCACAGAATGCAAATCTGTAGTTAATAACAGAAGGAAGGCACAGAGAAAAGCTTGGCTGGCATTAGCGAGGGGGTTCAACCACAGTCAAGGTAAAAACAGATCCCCCCGCCCTGGTCCTGTCTCTCTTTCTCCTGGTTTCTGAGGGATCATTCCACTCCCCATCACAGATCAATTCTAGTTGTCAAAACATAAAATAACACACCGATTATCTAAACATCAGATTTTCTATTTTTATTAAAAACTCACAAATTTATTCAACATGTTTCCTTTCATACAGTGAATGGTCTAATATGCACTGGAGGTCACACAAGCTTAGGTTTATCAGAACAATAAAAGACATATGAGAAATTTAATTTATAAAGAAAAAAAGTAGCAGCTGTTGACTGCATATTTGACCATAAAATTTAAATATTCTGGACTTTTATTTTAAAGACACAAAAATAAAACCTGTGTGGGTCTATATAAGTCATATTAACAATTCCATGAATGTTCAACAGGACTAAAAATTAGCAAAGATGTTTTTTTTTTTAAACCTTGTAACACTTTTTTTTAACACTTTCTCAGGTTGTGGTGCCAGGCACCTTTACAGTATTTGTGCTATAATTACTCTATTTGGCAAGTGTCTGAATATCATGTTTTCTCTTTGCCTTGTGTAAACAACACCTTTTTACATACTAGCACAGTGAGCTGTGAGCCCTGCAAATCAGAACATCTACAGGAAAAGAAAATGAACAATTTTGGTTGATTGCTCAAAACATTTTGTTTTGAACAAGAGGTTTCAAAACAGAATATATTAGTAAAACACTGAACTCCTGAATTTAACATTATACGTAAACAGTTGACTGTTTTTAGTTCAATAGTCTTTTCTTTTTTTAATTTTGTGTGTGTGTTTGTAAAGGTAGAATACTTCTCTTGTACAGCTGATGTTCAAGTCATATTACTAAGAGGTCTGGCTGGAGACCATCCTATCGAGTGTGTCTGCATGTATCTGTGTGTGTAGAGCTTTGTGAAGGTAGAAGAGTTGATACTGAGGGCTTTACATTTAGAATTTTGCAATTTTGGCAAAAACAAAAAAACCAAAAATCCCAGATAGACAAAAAATATATATATATAGTCCCACCTGATGCACAGCAGGTCGGCGTTTCTGAAGCTATAAGAGTTTGTGGTCGCTGTTGCTGAACTCTGAGACAACTCTAATAGATGTCTCAGAGCCTGAGACGTCTCGTGGCCGGCCCGGAGCGCCCCCGGCCGCTTCGCCCAGCTCAACTGGCTTCGGGCGCAGCCTCCCTCCCCGCGGCTCCCGGCGTCACCTCCTTGGCTGGCCGCCCCCGCGGCTGCCGTGGGTGTCTTTCCGCGGCCCACCGACCCCGAGCTCACGCCGGAGGCGTCGGTCCGAGGATCCGGGTCCAGTGGGAGGTGGGGAGAGGTCTGGATTCCCCGCGGGTGCCCGAGTTCTGCACCTTGCCAGCCAGCGCTCGGATCCCGGTCCTACCTCCAGGCGGATCCGGATCCTATTTCGCGTCCCCCGTTCCCATCCGGTCTCCCCAGACGGAAAATGGTCCCCGAGGCTGGAGGCAGGAGGGGCGGGGGGTGACTTGCTTTTCTGTTTTGTGTGTGATTTTTTTTGTGGGTTTTTTTTTTTCCTGTTTTTCTTAAATAGAAGGTTCATTTCTGTACAGCCGCGAGCTCCGCGGGCCGTGCGCGACTCCGCTACCACACGGCCGCCTCGTTCATTTCTGGGGGGTGAGACAGGTGGTTCCCATAGCTCGCCCCGCCGTTGACCGACAGCGACGAGAAGGGTGGGCTGGGCCCGAAGACCTCGGCCGACATGGAGTGGAGAGGACCGGGCAGGCTGGGCTCGGGGCTGGGCGAGTCCCCGGGAGGATGCGCCAGGATGTCGGTGAACCGCTGCGCCTCACTCGATGGGTGGTGGCCGGGCAGCGGGTGCTCCAGGCCACCCAGGGGTGTCCCGGAAGGCCCGGACGACGGTACGAAGGGCAGGTCCACCGGCGTCTGAGCCTGCGAGGACGGGGGGCCTTGCGGAAAGAAGTCGTAGTTGCCTCCGGGCCCGTAGTAGTCGCTCTGGTAATCTGCGGTGGCGGCGGGGAGAGGGGACGTCAGGGCGGGGTCCCGGGTGAGGCGGGGGTGACCGGGAGGGAAGGCTCGCTAGCGGGTCTGGGGAGGGCAACGCCGGGGCTCTCCATTCGCCGGGCTCCCGTGCCCGGCTGGGCGCACGGAGGCGGCCCGGGTGCAAACGCGGGAGCTGCTCCCTCTCTGCCCACCGGCCTCATTCAGGGCCGGGAATGCGATCCGGTCTCACTGCCTCCCATCATTTCCTCCCCAGCCTCCACCCCTCTCTCCCGCCCTCTCCGCTTCTCCTGCAGAAAGCCAGGAGCGCCTCCGCACTGCCGCCCGCTTCCAACGAAACGAAACCCGGCCTGCCCGCGCCCTGCCCGCGAGCCGCGCACCCACCTCCGTAGAAGGAGAAGGGCCCGTTGGGAAGGAGCTCGCCCGGCTCCAAACGGTCCACGAGCGGCCGCATCCGGCGCGGACTGCGGAAGAAGGCGTGGCGCCGGGCGCCCAGCGCGCTCAGCTGCTTCATCCTCCGTTCCTTGGAGCGTCGGTTCTGGAACCAGACCTGAAGCACGGACGCCTTGGGGTGAGGCCCCGGAGACCCTACCTCCGACTTTAAGGGTGTGCGGCCGCTCCTGGCCCCTCACCCTTCCACCTCCCAGCTCGCGGATTCCCAGCTGTATTTGCTTTGTGTCTTGTATATGGGGGGGGGGGGAGGGTGGTCTTGGAGTAGAACCGCGCGGGGTGGCCCTTGAGCCAAGGGTGGACAGGATTCCCGGCAGGGGCACCTGGGCAAGCCGCCCTGACCAACAGGAGACAGTTGGAGTTGTTTCTAACAATCGCAGCGAAACAGTTACAGGTTGTACGCGCGGAGGCGCTTCACCTCCCCAGAGTGTCAGACACACGGCTTCCCTTTCACGAACCCTGGCAGAACCCCCACCCCCACCCCGCGTGATAGTGACAGAGATCCAAACAGCCTCCTGTTTTGACACTCAGTCTCCCGAAGACAGTGACACCAAAACCCACAGCCTCCTTTCCGCACCCACGAATGATCTCCCAGTGCCAAACAAACTCGTCCATAGCCTCTCACTGTTAGAGACACGGCCAAGCAACCTCCCCTTCACCTGCGCACAAGAGCGCGCAGCCTCTCGGAAGCAGAGCGTCTCCGCGGACGGCAGCCTGCCTTGGTGCGCCTACTGCACAAACCTCCTAGGCACATCTCCCCATGGCCTCGCAGAGCCGCCCGGCACCGGACACCTAACCTTGGGCTCGGGACTCGGGCCGAACCACACACAGGTTCAAAACCTCACAGCGCGCACCGGCGCAGCTGCCTGGATGGACGCCTCCGATCCCCAGGCGACTCAGGAAGGGCCGCGGCAGAGCTGACTTCCGCCGCGACCACCTTCCCTTCAAACCTGGACGGCCCACCTCTCTTTGGAGGGGAGGTCTGCTGGCGGGGCGGTGGGGGCTGATTTAACTGGAGCCAGAGACCCACAAAGTTGGGGGCGGGGACACCGAGGGAGACCACGGATTAATCCCGGGAAGCACAGCGACCGCTCGGCTCCTCCCGGATAGGGGTGGTAGGGCAGAAAAATAGGTCGGTACTCTCATCGCCGCGTCCTGACGGTGACCCCTCCTCCCGTCCCATGCCCCCCCCCTCCGCCCCCCGTCTCTCTCCCATCGTTACCACTGTAACCTGCGTTGGACCGGCAAGAGGAGGCGGCATGGCGAATTCCAGATGCCCAGTCGCATCTGGTGCGACTTCAAAGTCGGAGCCGGGTAGGGGTGTGTCTGGGCCTCTCCCTTCCTCTCTGCCAGCCTCCAGGGACTCGCTCTGCTCCTCAAAACTGCTCCTCACCCCCCACCCCAGGCTCAGCCTGCAGGCTGCACCTCGAGGGAACTAAGTGGCATGCTCAGGCCCTGACCTGGATGACACGCATGTTGAGGCCGGTCTCCTGAGCCAGCTGCTCGCGGATGTGGCGCGTGGGCTTGGGCGTGGCGGCGAAGGCGGCCTTCAGCGTCTCCAGCTGCTTGGCCTTGATGGTGGTGCGAGGCCCTCTCCGCTTGGCCCCCAGGTTCTGGTCGTCGTTCTCATTGCTGCCCCCTTCCTTGTCCGACACGTTGGCGCTCTCCGAGTCCTTGGCGTCGTCCTGCGACGGGTCTTGGGAGTCCGGGGACAAACTGGGGTCACTGCCCGTGGTGGCTGGGGAGAGGGAAGGGACAGGTGAGCAGCAGCCAGTGGCAGGCCTTCCTCCCCCAAGACCCACGCGCCCGGAAGGAGCCGGGCATCAGGGCCTCACCCGAGTGGAGGCTGTTCTCTTTGGCGACGCTGCTGTTGCTTAGGTAATCCTCTTTGCAGACAAACTTGTTCTCATCGATGATGTAGAGCTCCTCGCCGGTGGATAGCTGCTTGTTACACATCATGCAGGTGAAGCAGTTCAGGTGGAACACTTTGCTCCGCGCTCTTCGCACCAGGTCGCTTGGGGAGATGCCCTGCGCGCAGCCAGCGCACTTGGTACCGAAACACCTGCGGGGCGGGGGGCGGTCGGGTGGGAGAGGGCCGAGGGAAGCCAAAGGGCAGGAGAAGGGCGATAGAGATAGTAGAGGAAGAATAGTTGTGGGGGGGTGGTGGTGAGAAAGAGAGCCAAAAAGGAAGAGAGGCAGAATGCCGATTAAGCAGGCCAGAAAGCAGGAGGAGAGAGCGCGGGCACCAGTGAAAAGTCAGGGAGGAGATACACATGGTTACAAGGAGAGAGCAAGCTTAAGCCACCGCCACCCCTAGCCTCCTGCCCCGTGTTGTCCCAGAGGGAAAAAGCACCGAAGGAGGCAGGCAGGCACCTATTTTCCGATTAGATTCAGAAAACCAAATTAGATCTCCATCCTAACTCGGCCCAAGCACCGCCGCTTTCTATGCATTGCCTCTTTCATCGAAAAAGAACCCGCGTACAGGCCGGGGGCTGGCAAGGACCAATCCCACCGCGGGTAAACAAACAGCGCGGAGAGCCTGGACGGCCACAGCCCGGGCACTGCCACATTCCAGCCCAAAGCCCGGCTGGTCGGTGCAAGCTAGACCGCGTCGCAGCTCTAGCTGCCGGGATGCGCTTCGCAGAAGCCAGGCTTCTGGGGCCCACTGGCAGCCGGCAGCACTCGCCATTGCCCCGCTTGGCTCTCGCCAGTAGCCAGAGGCCAAGCATCGCGGGCCAAGGCCCAGAGGTCCAGCCTGCGCTTCCCCTCGGCAATACCAGCCGACTGCGCTTTGCTCCGTGGTCCGCGGCCACCAGGGCCGTGCATCCGGGATGCACCGGGGACAACGTGTTCTGGGCCTCTGGGCAAAGCCACCTGGGCGGCTTCGAACCCCTACTCTGTCCCCCAGTTCGATTTGTCACCACAAACTCAGAGGAAAGCAAAGACTAAGTCAGTCAAGGAAACTGGGAGATTTCAGACCCGCCTAAGGGAATATCAATTCAAATTTGCTCCAGTTCTGTTGATTTGTGTGTTGTGTGGACTTGGTGGCAGCTTGGTGAGTTAAAATGCTAAACGGAGCAGGGTTGTCAGGAGACTTCTCCGTCTCCAACGAGCCCGGTCTCCTCTTTCCCCCAGGTTTGCGCAAGGAGGTGGCGGGCAGTGGCGGCCAGAGCCCAGAAGAGCTCCAAGCGGAGCCCGCACCTCACTGCCGAGGTCGGCGTTGCGTGGAGGCCGAACCTGCTGGCCACGCGGGCAGCCGGGGAAGGTCGTCTTGCAGGCTGCAGCCTCTGGCACTTCACAGACTACCAGTGCAAGTAGTGTGGCTAGGTTGGCCCATCGGGTGTCAGGCAGACCCCGGGCCATGCAAGATAGGCCCCCAGGCCCTAGCTCTTCCCAGCCGCTGCCACCGCAGGCAACTGGACGCACCATGCCAAAGGCTCGGCGGTTCCCGCCAAGACTTCTTAGGGACTGGAAAGGTAGTGGGGCGCAGCTTAGCCTGGGCTTCTAAGCTCAATCTGGAGGACGAGTCAAGTGGGGAGGCAGGGAGAATGCAGTTGCTGGACAGATCTGCCAGGGGAAAGGTAGGACCCGGGGTTACACCTTCTGAGGCTGAGCTACCTTCTTCCAAGCCAGGAGGGGCTTCTCGCTCCGAGGCGAGTTCAGGCTCTTTTCTCCCAGGCACGTGCAGCCAAGCCCGGACCCACAATTTCCAGGGCAAAAGCAGGCCGCATCCTCGGAGCCCAGCGCTCGCCAGCTGGCCAAGAGGCGGGAGCCCCCACCCCCACCCCCCTCCCCCGGGGACTGGGCTGCCCCTCTCCAAAGGCAGCTCCCAACGCGGGTCGCAGGGGCCACGCTGACCTCTGATCCGAAGCCGGCTGGGAAGGGCCCGCTGGGAAGGAGCGGCCCAGGAGGCGCGCAAAAGTACTCACCGGAAGAAGTCGTTTTTGCAGTAGAGCTTGCCTTCCCGGGAGAAGCACTTCTCGGTCAGGTTGCATTTACATTCACAGCACTGGACGCACTTGACGTGCCAGGCCCTGTCCAGCACGTTCAAGAGGAAGCGGTCCAGGATGGGCCTTTTGCAGCCGGCACAGTGCACCATGGTCTTTGGTTTGGTCGGGTGAGGCCCGGAGAAGAGAATCGCAAGATAGAGCCGAGGGGATGACTCACGAAGACGACCGGCAGGAACTCCCCAGCCCCTCCACAAAAGGGGAGACACACGTGGCGGGGCAAACCGAAACCCGCACCGGAAAATCAAAGACAGGGAGGCAGGCTGATGGGGGCGTGGGGTGGGGGGCGCCGCCTCGGAGTAGTGTGCAGCCGGGCAGTCCCGGGGCCTTCGGGGCACAGTAGCGCCGCCGCAGCTCGCGGGGCGAGGAAAAGGGTCTCAGGCGGGCGAGCTAAGCGACTCTTCAAGCCCAGAGCCCGCGAACGAGTGAAGGTCACCGAGAACGGCGACGGGAACGGAAATAAACACAGCGGAGTCGGAGAAGGACGACGCGGCTGGCCGGGGTTGCGCGGAGAGCGCCGCTGAGTTCTCTCGGGCTTGAGGTAGAGCTGTCAGAAGGCAAAGTGCATCTGCTCTTGTCGGGGTAGGAGGGCGGGGTGTGTGTGTGTGTGCCGGGTTGCCCGCCACCGGAATTTCCCCTCCTCTTTCGATAAAGAAAAGAACCAAGCGAATAGAGACTCTTCGGATCCTAAACTGCCGGCATCTCTCAGCGGGTTAGGACGCGCTGGGCGCCCGCGGTGGGCCTGGGGGAGGAGGAAGAAGGGGCTGGCCGAGGCGGGGAGGGAGGGAGGAGGGGAGGACGGGAGGAAGGTCTCGTTGTCGATTGTTGTTGTTGCTTAGGTTTCCCCCCTTTTGGAGAAGAGTTCTCTTGTCCACCGAGAGCGGAGAGGGACAACTCCGCGCAGACGCAACCAGGTGAGCGCGCGCGCTCCCCACCGCCCCAGCCCCGTCACCTCGGCCGGTGGCCTGCCGGGCGGCCTCTGTCTCCGCGGGACGGCCCTCCCCGCGCCTGGACTCCTTCGGAGAGGGGGTGCCGTCCGGCTCCTCACCGCGCCTGGCCGTGCATCGTAGCTCCAGTCGCAACTCGCGGCCGCCTGGGCGCGCAGCCCCACATCGCTCGGCCCACGCTCCGGCTGCCTCCGTGCAAACCCCACAGTCTCTGGACTTTTTCCTTTTCCTTTGCCCCTCTGTTTTTCGTTGGGGTAGCAAATCTGTCTTTCCTTTCTAGCCTCTTTCCTTCCTTTTTTTTTTTTTTTCCTTTTGCAGCGGGAGGAGTCGGGGGGAGGGGGAGTAGCTTGAAGAGCTTTAAAAAAACCCAAAAACCAAAAACATCCTGGTGCAGCGGCTACAGTTGTGCGCGGCTGGAACAGCTCGGGCTGGGCCGCCGCTGTCGCCGGCTGTCCCCGAACAGGCGTCCCTCTGTCCCTGGTCTTCTGGCCCAGTCCGCCGCCCCGGCGCGTCTCTCCCCGGCTCCGGCGGCTCGGTCACTGCTCCCGGCTGTTGGCTGGGCTCTGGAAGCCCCCTTGCCTTAATGCAGCGCCCGCCGACGTCACGGCGGCCTGCGACCAATCAGCGGCTCGCGGTCCCTCTGTAAACCATCCTGCATCTCCCGGCTGGGGAGAGTGCCGGGAGACCGCGTTTCGAGGATCAGTGGCGGCGGCCCCGCGCGGTGCGGGCGGCGGGCAGCGAAGTGCCCGGGTCCCCTCCTGCTCCGGTACGGAGTCGCTTGCGGTAGGAGAGACTGAACGCGCGCGTGAGTGGGCGCAGGCGGAGGGCAGATTTCTGCCCTGAGGGTGGGTGGTACCCAAGATCGAGCCTTGTTGGAGGTTGGGGTGCAGCTGGCTTTGGGAGCCTCGGCAGCCCAGGTGCACTGTTTGGCTTTGCAATTCAGCGGGTGTTGGGTCCCTCCCGCCCGCCACCCTTGCTTTCTTGGCCTAGAAGTTTGCCCCGGGCACCGCGCGTGTCTTTGGGGGCGTAGAGGGGACGGCGTTTGGCAGCAAAATCTCTCTCCTCCGGTCGCTCCTTTTGTGCCCTCCTCCCCCAGTCCATCCAAAGTCCACAGGTTCTGGGGCTCTGGGAGATCTGGGTGTCTGTTTCCCGCAGCGCCGTCTTGGAAAGTTGATTCCGGCGGTTTCCTGGTGGGGGCGGGGGAGACCGGAGGCGCGGCTCCGGGGCGGGCGGGGGGAAGGGGAAGGAGTGGGTGGGGAAGCGCCTTGGGTGAGGAGTTACAACCCCGGCGAGAAGTTGTGAGAAAACTGTGATCCGGAGACACCTTTTACAGACGAAAACAAACGACTAGGCGGGAAACGGTGGGGGCAATAGCGGCGGCCGGGGGTGGGGGTGGTAGTGACAGAGGGAACGGCGACGTCCTGGGGACTCCACCCGGAGACTGAGAAGGATGGGGGTGTGCGGAGAACCGGCCCGGCCTCCCGTCTCCCCTTTTCCAGGCTCCAGGCTGGCACCAGCTTCCGCAGACAAGCGCAGAGCACAGCCTCCGGTAGTTCGCGTCTTACGGAGCCCATGCCTTCCTTCCTCACTTTCCTCGGAGTATAAACTAGGGACCACTGCCAGCGGGGGGCAGGATCTCCCAGAAGTGCCGGCCGAATCTGGGTCCTGAGAGTCTTAGCCTCGAAGAATCACTCTAGTTCCGCGGCCCACACCAAATATCAAATTCGTTTCCACAGCACCATTCCTATGCTTAACTCGGATCTCTTCCGAAGTGAAATCTGAAGGTGGCAGGGCTGGGCAAGCCCCGCCGCATTTGCTCCTCGGTTTTTTGTTTTTTGTTTTTTTTTTTCCGGAAGGGGCGTTAGGAAGGCCCTACACATTCGGCTCAAGTGTAGAAGGCAATAAAGATGGGCGGCCAGCCAGCCCGGTCTGGCCGGTATTTGGGGAATGGCCTTTTGACCCCACACGCGGGGCTGGGTTCAGACATCTCTCTCCCAGCTAAGCTGGAGGAAATGCTACCCGAAACGCAATTGTTACGAACCTGGGCAGGCAAGGAACTCAGTTCCTTGCAAATGGAATACCCTCTTCGAACGAACCGGGAAGCCGGTACAGCGAATTTGGTTTGCGCTCAGTACACTGGGGTTTTAGGACTCCGCCAACACTGCTTTCCATCTTTAAGCCTCCGCCCGCACGGCCCCGCAGCCCCGAGGCCCGCTGGCAGCCCCCTCGTCTTGCCGCCCGAGACCCCTTTCGATTGGAAACCGAGCTAAGGGCGGCTGTGCGCCTCTCTGGCGCTCCGCCCATTTGGACCTCGGGATCCAAGGCCCCTTTCGCCGTCTCCGCACCCCCTCCACACACACACCTGGGCTCTGGCTCCCCACTGCCGGGAGGGCGGCGTTGGGGCTGTTTTTTTCCTCTCTCTTTCTCTTTCTCTCAACAGCCCCCTCCGCGGATCTCTCCCAGGCCGGGGCTCAGGGCGGAGCTGGGGAGGGGCCGCGCGGTTCCCCAACCCAGCAGGCCAGTTTCGCGGGATGCGACTTGGCTTTGTGCTCCTGCCGCGGACCGGGCATTTCCAGAAACCAGCCGAGTGGCACCCGGTACTCAGGGACCCCGGGAGGCACTAAGAGCTGCGTGGCTGGGGTCCTCGCCGCCTCCACCCGGACCCAGAGGCGCCTTCCCAGCCTGCTGCTCTGGGTGAGGCCCGCGGTGGGGGGCGGGGGGTGTCCTCTGAGTCGTCTCCCAGCTCTCCCCACCTCCCCTACACCCCCAGCTGTCTTGGTTCTCGCCACCAGCGCGCTCAAGTCAACCGCCCCTTTCTGGAATCTATAGCGGATCCTGTCCCGAGTGGCTCGCCCCCGCCCCCGCCCCAGCTGGGCCCCTTCTCATGCAAAGTAGAGGGACCGTAGGGTTGAGTTGGGGGCGTTTGGTGGGGACCTTCAGAGCGACAGCTGGACCCGGCTGCCGGCCCTTCCTGAGCCCAAGGTCCGCCGCGGCCGCCTTTAGAATGGGCTGGAGGACGTTGCTGCCCCCGTTTGGGGGTGGAGGGACCCCGACTGGGGGGACAGAGAGTCCCTCCCTGCGCTCGGATCGTGGGTGAGGGGAGCTGAGGGCGAGGACAGGACTCTGACTGGGACAGGTTCTCTGCCCCCAGTGTCCAGATGACTCAGTAAACAGGTCCTGGGGAACTAACCCGGGAATCTAGCAGGGGAGCAACTCAAGGCGGGCCTCCTGGCTCCTGATTCTAGAAATTTAAGTCCAGTTTTAAAGCTTCCAAGGCAACAGTACAGTAGATTAATGTGTTTTTCCCCCATTTCCATTGAGCTTTTATTTTAAAATGTAATTGATCCCAGAGACACGGCGAGAAAACTGACCCAGCTTTCCAAATTGGCAGCCTCCGAAGCCTGTCAGCTCAGCTCTGCTCTTAAACCCCTGTCTGCTTGGCAAAGAGCCCCGGCCTCTTCTCCTCACCCTCACCTGCTGCCCTTACTGCCTGTCCTCAAGTCCGCAAGCGCTTTCCACCCAAAGCTCTCCACATCTCCCGAACCCACCACCACACACACCACTCGCTATGCTGCCGGGGGTGTAAATTCTGCCCCGGGTGCTACAGGGGGCAATTTGCTGCCCAGGCATCGCTCAGCGGCCACAGCATCCTCTGAACCTCATCCCAGGCACTCTTGGAAAAGGCCCCACAGGGCCCAGGAAGCGGCATTCACAACACAGCTTTCTCCTGTGAGAATCTCCTAGGAACGTGGGATGGGAGGGTCCTGCTGGTTCTTCCCAGCCACCCTGCAGCTAGGGCGCTGAAAGTGCCCTCTCTTGCACCCCCTTTCTTCCTTGATTCCAAGCCCCACATCGCCTCCTTCCCAATGCAGGGCTTAGGAGGCCCAGGGATTCGAGTCAGCCAGCTTGGTTGGTTACTTTTGGTCCTAATCACGGGCCACCGTCCTGGCCGCTTCCCTCCTCACTCAGCCCCCAGAAACCCGCGGTGAGCCCGAGAAAGGGGGTGCCTGCAGCAGAGCAGACTGGGTCCCTGTGCCGGCCACCACCTTCCGGGGAGAGGGAGGAGGGAGTGAGCCCGGCGCGGCTGAGACCCTCATAGTCCTGGAGGCCAAGCAAACTCCGTACTGACTCTAGAGGACACCACT